CTTATCGATCGCCCAGTTGACATTGCATCGATATCGGGCGAAAGTTAACAAGCGGCAGGCCATAACAAGCCAGTATATGATACTGTAAATGTTCGATTTAAAAGCTTTTCTCAGCTTTTCCTCATCGCTTGTTTGTCTTTCGTTCTCTGTTTGCTGTCGCGTCTCGTCTCCTGCATTTGGTCTTCAATAAGGACCTGACTTCAGTTCAATCTGACGGTAAAATATCTTGCAGGAGAAATCGCAGGGCAAGGCAGAGATATACCTCAATCAAGCCTTGATTATTCACGCGATTAATATGCAATTAATATTCGATATTTTGAGCAACTTTTCTATACAATTAATTAAATTTCCGCCCCTTCTCGTCCGGGGTAACACACTTTTGTGTCACATCAGCGAATTGCAATCCGCCGCACACACACCCAGCGAACCTGCCTATGCACACTCATTAACACAACAATAAAGTACAATCGCCGCCCCGCCTCTCCGCCTCTCCGCCTGCCCGCCCTGCTCCGCGTGGGGGCGTGGACAATTAATGTGACTGACACACATGCAGATTTTGCCGCCGTTCGCGTTGTCATATTTGATTTACAGTTGCAATTTACGCACTTTCAGCAGGAGGAGGCCCAGGATCGGGAGTTGCGATGGGTGTGGTTGTGGGTGTGGGTGTGGGGCTGGCCGACAGCTGTCCACGTCAGCATCCGGCTTCTGTTTGATGTTGTTAATTGATTTTCAAAGTCAACTGGCGTGGATTGGTGGGTTCTGGTGGGGATTGGAGCGGACTGCAGGGGACTAAAGGGAAGCCTGCTTTCGCTTTCGCCACGCTCGGAGATTAGCAGGGCAGTGTAAAATGCATCTCCATTGAGGCGCAAGCGACATAAAACCAATTCCCAATCCGCATTCGCTGGACAATTTACAGACTGTGTGTCCCGACCCCGCCCCACGCCCCCCGCCCCTGGTGTGCATTGTAAGTGCAGTGTAGCGCACTTGCAGCTGCAATTGCCGAGTGGATTTCGGAGTTGTTCCTGCTGCACGGCGCGTGGGGCGGTGGGGCAGCGGGGCGGTGGTTGATGGGCTCGTGTTTGTTTTATGTGTGGCAATTGTCAGCGTCCCATCGACAAGGGACTGTATCTGTTGTCTGTCCGGCATGCGGTTCAATCAAAGCGATTTTCAATGTCCACAAAATTTCGGAAAAGGACATTTTGGTAATTTCAACGACGTCCCCCTCCGAATCAGGAGCGGACTTGATTCCGCTGCGGTTTTTTAGGGCCCATTGAAGCCGATCTTGTTTGGTTTGGCAAGCTATAAAGCTGTGCTAGCCTTTACCATAAAATATCCAATCAGGTTGACAAAGTTGATGCCAACTAAAATTGCTCAAGTGGCCGTTACTTTTCCGATGCAAAAGTGATTTGAATAGAATTTAAAAGCGTAGAATCTTTAAAATTTGTAAGGACTAATGCCATTATATTCCAAGGAAACGTATGTATTTGTTTGACTTTCATTAAATCTGATCTCTCTCTCCTCCTCTATAATTTTTTAGCAGTTGAAATATTTGTCCGTTTTTTCGTTTACGGATGCTAACAAGTTATTGAGAATTTTAACCCTTTGCAGAGGGAATTGTATTATTATTAAACAGTACATTTTTTTGATTAGCATCATTAGGAAAGTAGATCTAGCGCTGTGCGTCTGTTCGGTTTTTCGCAAACTACTCTCTCCGATTGAAAAGTATCTTGATGAAACTTTTCCAAACGTCTTCTTTCAATTTCCAGAAGTATTTAAGTCAGAACGGAACAAATAGGACCACTATATCACATAGCTATCACAGTAACAAAAATAAAACTTCGCTGTTTTTCAATTTATTCGAATACACATCGAGATATTGTTACAGGTTCAAATTTCAGAACAATGGGTTTAATTTAATCAACGATTAGTAAAGCGTAAACATCGAACACAAATAGTTTTTAAGAATATTTATTTTTGTAATAGCTGCAAGGCAATATATATAGGTATATATATATAGCTTTTTTCTGTTTTATAAAAGTTTTAATGTTACTTATTGATTTAAGAGCTAGGAAAGAATGGCCAAACTTGCAAATCTTCGTCGATTTTTAACCTTGTTGCATTGAGTTCAGCTGTTTGTTACTTTTTCTTGTAAAATCAAGTTCTGATCAAATTAATCTGCCCACCTGAGGTAGCAATGGTAAACAGCAAAACATCTATGTCCTTGGACATACTTTGAGTTTTTAAAACTGGCGCCCAAAAGACCCGCAATCCATCACCAGCCGCTGGTCCTGCTTTGCTGTTGGTAATGAGTTTGGTTTTGCTGTTTAAATTTAAACGTGTTCAGCGGCGGGAGGAGGAGCGGGACAAGGGTTGGCTTGCAAGCGGATGGCTACAGTTCTAAAGTGTATTTGCATTTAACGCTAAATGCACTGCAGAAGGATGGGATGGATTGCAGCCTGCGGGAGGGAAAACATGACAGTTGCATTAATTTTGATTGCGTAAATATTTTAAGTGTGCGGATTGCGAGAGCCCTCTCAAAAATGTTTGCCCATGGCCCATTGCCTGGTGAATGGGTTGGGCTGGGCTGCACGAATTAAGTGATTGCAATTGAGATGAGCTGATTGTGAAATCTGGGTGAGTCGAGATCGTTGCATTTTAAAGTTTGTTGAAGGACTTGCAGCTAATGGTGAACCTCCCGATGCTTCGGCTCAGTTCGATGAACTCCTGAATGGAGTTCAACTCGAGCATTGGCAACTTTTCTAATTAAGCAACAACTGCCACTCCACCCTTGTTTTCTGGGTCGCATCCCCAGATGTTGCTAATTTCAGACGCTAATAAAATGATTCAACCACAAATGTTTGAGGGCAAAAAATGCTATGGAATTTATGGGCACGTAGCTGACATAAAACTTTCAGATGGATCCGAACCCCTCGCATGATGTGATAATTTACTTAACAGCCTCTGCGCAGCTAACACGCTCCGGAGACAATTTACAAGATGCAAACATCAAATTTTATGATGTCTAGGCCATAATTAATCGAGATTTGTTGTGAAGGTGGCTGAGGCTGAAGCTGAAGCTCATAAAACTTAAGCAACCTCTTAATGAATATTAACTTAACTTGACTTTTATGAATTCCCGTTCTTTTTTCCTGCCTAATCCTCACCCGGCTCGACTCTTTTTATAAACGCTTATTCTATTTATTTGCCACTTCTCCCGTTTATTTGCGCTTTCCAGACCCTGTCTGACCTTAGCAGCTCAACTGCAATTAAACCTTAACCACATTATCTCCAGCTCCGTTTCTTCCCAACAGCGCCATTACAAGTTTTTCGCTTTCGGTCGACCAATACCGCAAAGTCTGCGGCATGTGGAGAATTTTCCCATAAGACTGCAATTTTGTCCAGAGTATTATTTAAAGGGGCACATCAGCATTTGGTTGAACTTTGGTAGGGCAAAATACTGAAATACCCTCTCATGAGAGGTTATATATAATCCTAATATTTTAAAGTTTATGTGCTTTCCTTGGTCACAAAATAGGAATAATTAAAGCATAAGAAAAATAAGATAAAACTAAACGAAAGGAAAAAAAGGAAAATATATAATCATTGAAATCTGGTTTAAGGAGAAAAGTTTGAAAGTTACCAAAATAGGAAAAATATTTAAATCTATAAATAAGTTTACTACAAAATATTGAAGCAAACTTTTTAAATTTTCTTGCCACCAAAAGGTATTAAAATAATCGTTGATCCCCAGTTAAATATCGTGTGGCTTCTTATCTCCATTACACAAAGCATAACAATGCAGTTGAAATTTTATAGTAAATTGATCAAAGAATTTAGTTGTAAAGGATTGACTTTATATTCCGAGGGTACCTGAAAGTAATCCTAAAGCGAAGCATCCATATGCGAAAAAATGCCTTATTCTTGTCATAAAAAATAAAGCTAAATTGTTCGTGTTACTTTTTTTGTTAGCAAATTCCTAGGGCCTTACAAGCATTTCAGTCAGATAAGTCTTCGTCTCTTTTTACTAGAGTTATTTATGTACATTTTACTGAATAATAAATTGCACCCATTAAAATATGCCAAAAAATCTATACAATGAAACTCTTTCAAGTGATGTCATAAATTAGCTTAGGAATCCTATACTCATTTTATTAATTTTCTCAAACAAAACAACGGACTTTTGGCCAAAACTCGGGCCCGCTGGCTCAGTGTGCATTGACTAGAAATCATCTGGATTGGAAGAGAAAGAGTATTCTAGGGAAACAAAGACTTGACGCTTTGTGGTGATAGCTGGAAATTAATTAAATGTCGCGGCGAATGAAATTAAAATAAAAAGGTCGAAAGCTGCTTTAAACAAGATGATAGCTTGGGACAGAAGGCCAAGGCTTATCATTTGATATTAGTAAGGGAGTGAGTCGAATGGTTACTCAGCCGAATAGCTGAATGCACAACTTTGCGTGTGGCCAAATCTTGTGAATGACGTTCGTTTTCTTTCTGACTTTTCTCGTTCCTGAGTGCGGTACAAACAATAACTTCGAAATACAAAGACAAAGCGAAGGAATAGTTGGGCCGAAAGGAAAGGCACTTCCTTTTGCTGAGTAGCCTTTGCAGCAGAAAAACTGCAACTTTTGACTTCCGCACTAAAAGTTTAAGTCCATTTCCGACCGAGCTAGGATTCAAGGAGAGAAATTAATTAGTAGTTTACTGAGTCGCGCTACCCTGTCTTTGTGTGGTGAATCTGGGATATCGCTTTTGCTCCTTTGTTTGTTTTCCATTCCTACTTTTATTTTATTATTATAATTTATTTATTCCTTATTAATTCCGATTCTTGTAGCACTTTCGATGGGTTAATCCTATAGTCAAAGTCTTATGATGTGTATTTCTTGTGCTGGAAGCTGTAGTTAGTGGCCTTTAATATTTTGTAACGTTTGGGGATTTGAATAAACAAGTTTATATCCTCCATTACCAGCGAGTAACCGAATTTCCCGCTTCTATTGCAGGTCTCAAGGATCCAAACCTGGACAGGCATACCAGTAAAGGTGAGTTTCGGCTTAGCACTCTACTCCGATCAAAAATTAATTAGGAAGCCACTGGAGATGTAAATAGTCTGTGATGGCAACAAACCGAAATTTTTGCTGCTCACTCAAAGCGACCGAGACAAAGGTCCAACCCACACACTGGCTCCAGCCTCGCTGCTCGCCGCAATAACTATAAATTCCCAGGCCCAAGGCAACCACAAGACTTCACCCAAGCCCCTCAAAACATAAACCAAGCGGCTCTTTAAAACGCAATCAAGCTGAAAATTAATTAAAATTTTCAAGCGGGATATGAAATGAATGCGCAGTCGAAAGGGAACGACGGTCCTCCCTTCGAAGACGAGCGGGTTGTGCAAGGTAAATCCGAGGTTTAAATTAAAACACACTTGTTACTGTCTTAGACGCTGCCGTCTCCGCTGGAAGTCGTCGTCTCGATTTCATTAAAAATGTTTTTATGCTCGCATTATCCTTTCACTTTGCCTCTGACTCTTCCACGCAGCAATTTAATTTGGCTACAAAACGCTTGCCGCATCCTTGACACTTTCACTTTCACCTTACCACTTTCCCACCCCCAACCCCCAACCCCGCCCAGCTCACCTTCCGCTACCCTCAACCCATTTCACTTCAGGCGATGGCTTGTTTTAAGCAGCTTAAGCTTGTCGTTGACATTCGCCCGTGATGTTGTTGTTTGTGCTGCGAAAGTGCTCATAATTTCACGCTAAACGAACACACACGCGTCCTTCAGGTCCTGTGCCAGCTCTTGGCTTTCCTCAGAGCGCTTTCCACCACTTGGTTCGCCTTCGAGCTGGTGGGAATCAAGGTTTAAGCAGCGGAGTCACCGGGGATATCGCCGAAATGCAATAAAGTTGAGTGCGGATTCGCTGAGAGCTCCATTTTAGTCTGCACTTTTTGCCTTGCCTTCCAAGGATGTTGACTTCTATAATCTGCAAAAATAAATCGGGAATGTCTTGTGTGGGGAATCAATCGATCCGAGTATGTTGGACAAAGTTTGGGCTTGTACTCTGTACCTCTGTACTCCACCGCCTGGTCATCCCGTTGGCTGTTGTCTTTATTACATTCCGATGAATGTTGCGATTTGACTTCGGCGGGCGGCTAAAAAAATACAACTCATTGCATGCTCGGGGGCCATTGAATGGACTTGATTCGGTGTATTCATATGCTTTTAACTGAATTAGTCTAGCCGGCTAATGTGATAAATGGATGCGGCTGGCAGGAGCTGAAGCCTGGTGAACCCTTCATAATTATACTTGGAGCCGATGGGCTGGGGGATGGGCTGCAAGTCATTCCGTAGGCATAAAAACCGTCTTTCCTGCCAGCTCCTCCGCCCCAAGGACACCCACTTTAATCTCATAAATCATGAGCAAGATGAAACTTGCCGACGTGGGCAGGGGCAGGGGCAGGGGCAACCGCACATATCATAACATTCAACATATTTCACTTAGGCAAACATTTAATCCGGCATCTTGTCTGGCCCTCTGTCCTCCACCTGAATGCAAACGCGGGGCTATATTTTCATTTCCGCTGGCGTTTTTATTCTTATTTCATGCTGCACGTTATCAAATAATGAATATCAAATGTAATGCTTATCATTTATTTGCCGAACCGAAACCGAAACCGAACCGGGAGCTATGCAGTGCCAACTGGGGGAGCTGCGGCGGCAACATATTATAATATTTACTTAATTTTCATTTCTAATTCGGCCGCTCTCCCTTCGCTTGGCGGCACATGATACCTCTCTGGACCAGGACCTTGGCATTGGCAGGCTGTGGCAGGAGAAAATAGGAAAAAACCTGCATAATAAGCAAGTCTGCTGTTTGTGGGCCCGAAGTCAAGTGGTTGGGGAGAGTGATTGGGTGGCTGGGAGGGGTGCTTGGTGCTTGCAGGTGGCTTAAGCTGCGTCTAAAGCGATAACGCAAAGTATTTGAATTTTTAATATAACGAAATGCGGATCTCAACGAACAGGGTGCCCCTGCCTCCCCCAGTTCATCTGCCTCTTGCGCAGACACTGGCGAATCCCAAATACCCTGCTCAATAGGAGTTTCCCTTCCATGACTCCATGACTCCCCAGCATTTCGCAGTGCTGATGTATTCAAATACGCTTCGTGGCCGCCATTTTCCTGTCACTGGCTGTGAAAATTCACAGCTTTTCCTCTCCCCAAAGCCTGGCTGGCTAATCTTTTGGTCAGCGAGCACCCAACTACCCAGCTACCCACCTCCCCCTTTGGACGTCTGTCGCCCTGTTGTCCATTCGCTTTTTTGAAATTCCAATTTGAATGGTTCGTGGTTTTCTACCCGGCTGTTAGTGGACGTCCTCCGCAGCAGCCAATATTATATTATTCAAGCCATCGCATTTGGCTGCCTCCTCCAGGCCACCAGCCAGCCATCGTTCGCTGTACTTGAAAATCGTAATTAGAATTGGTAATGTATTCAAATTGACTTTCATTTCCGTTTGCTCGTCGGGTGGTTCGTTTGTTTTACTTTTGGCATTCTTCATCAGGATTTTTGCGCTTTTCGGCGAGTTACGCGCCTTCGCAGAGAGATGATTACAGCCATCGATTCGCACTGTCCAATCGCTTAGACAAAGTGATCAACTGGCCAGACAAAGCCACTTTCGATTATCGAAGTGGGCTGACTCTGCCGCCATATTTCAAAATCTCTGAACGCAAAAGTTTTCCCTTGCAGACAGCGGCGGAAAAGCAAAGAAACTGAAACTTTTCGCTGGCAGGCGGAACGCAGTAAAACCGTAAAGAATTCAACTAATAAAAATCAGGCATTCAAGTGCGAAAAAATCGCGAAAAAGCATCATCAAATAATGTGCCACTCAAACCGAATCCCTGCGTGGCGCCCTGCGCCCGAATCGCAGTTTGGATTCAACCGAAAGACAAATAGAATGGCAAAGAAAAGTAAAAGGCAAGTTGGGAACAAAATAGAACTATGCTGGCAGCAGCAGTGAAAAGTTTGCTTCGAGATGGCATCGTGATGACTATATATGGAACACTATCTTAAAGCAATTAATTTTTTTTATTTTTTTAAAGTAAAGTAAAAGAAATTAGCAAATAATGAATATTATTAGAAACATAAATATACAAATTCAAAATTAAAAAAAAAAGAAAAAACTGAAAATGTTTTAAAATAGTTTATAGGTGTTAGTCTTAGTTCAAAATTGCTTATATTTAATTTTTTATTGTATAAATATAATAAGTTTATGCCTTTATAATAAGTTTATGCTTGTATCGCTGGCATAAAATATTAAATAACATGAAGTATTAAATAAAATTAAATTGAAATGGTGGAAGCACCCCCAGAAAATCTCGTGACACGGGCGCATCTCTATCAATGGCTGCGGGCCGGAGCCATACGTCATCGGGAAAACTTCGATGGCTTGGCCAGGAGCGGATGGCACTCCGTTTCTCCGTTTTCCTAGCGGATGGGGGGGGTGGGGGGGGCACATATTTTCTCCGCCACGAAGCGTGCGAGGTATTTTCCCCATGTGCGGATGCGGATGCGGCTGCCTCTGTGTGTGCGCAGCGGAAAAGCAATTTTCCTTTGTGTCGTGGCCAGGTCTTCAGTTGGCATTGTCTTCCGCTCACCGCACTGAGCTGGCAAATTTGTTGCAACCGAAATAAACACTTTATTAAATGCATTGGAATAAGCGCAGCACTCGCAGGACCCCCGCATGTGGATAAACTTTGAGCCAAGTGAATTTGGTGCTAAGCTCAAGTAGGATTCAATGCCGGCAAAAAGGGTGCTGCTAATGCACTTGGAGCAGCTTAAGCGGCTAAGCGACGGAAGTGAAATGCCAGCCCAGTCAGCTCCCCTTAAGTCGGGCCAAAATGGTCGCCACATAAAATATCTCCGCCGAACAGGCAAAGGCCTTTACAGGTTATTACTTATTTATTTTGTGATTTCTTTGCATTCTGCTTTTCATTTGCCCCCCGGCCCCCGGCCCCCGACCCACGCCCACGCCCACGACCCTTCTGCCCCCATAATCGAAGGCAAGAATCAAATTATGCTAGAATTGAGATTGATTTTTTATTCAATTTTAATGCGACAAATGCAGGCAGATAAACAGACGACAGCTCGGAGGACACACATGGCCCGAAGTCCTGGCCCCGAACCAGGATCCACATCCACATCCAGCCAGCCCTGCGAAACACGTGGCCCGAATGGGGCTGCCGATGGGAGGAGTTGAGGAGGTGTGGCTGGGAAATTACAACGACGATGGCACACAAGGGAGTCGCACTGGATTAGGTCGTCCTCCAGGCCAGGTCCTTATGGGAAACTTTTTGAATATTACAGCATAAATCGATTAGCTTCTATCGGGCTGTGTGTGGGGTGGGGTGGGTGCTCATGTGTGCTGTGTGTGCTGTGTGCTGTGTGGTGTGTGGTGTCTGTGTTGTCACTGATTGACACTTGAAGCGATTTTTTTTGCTGGCTGCTGTTTGCTGAAGCTGTTCCAGCTCCAGCACCAACTCCTTGCCCGCACCCGCATCCTTGAGAGCATTGATATGCGTCCCCAACACTCGACTACGGGCTTCATCTAATAAGCACCCGGGCATAGCTCCACTCCCCCGGCGATCCAGATAGGTGTACAGTCTTATCGAGAGCCGGCAAATTGGCTGCCTGGCCCGTTTAACGGGGAGACGACCTCGATTTGCAGCATAAATTGAAAGGAAATTAAACACTGAGTGGAGGGGAAATGAGCCCTCTTTGAGCTGCAGCGGAAATTGTTATGTGATAATTGGGTATTGCGTTTCCATCGATCTGCACCAGAGCTCAGCCGCAAAGTGGGACAGAACGAAGGTGGCACAACTATGGGAATCGAAGTCATCGGGCTCGGTGTTTGTCCAACGGATTATCGCGTTTGCTGTTTGGGCACCAAATTACATTTCAATTTGGATCACTTCACATCATCAACGCACCAGGAAATCTCTCTCCGCCGAACCAGTCCACAAATCCGCTGAGCAAATAGTCAAAGTCGG